GGGTGATCCATTCCCTCCCCACACTCCTCTGCTGCCTAACTAATGGACTCTTCCTGCCCCACAGGAGATACACGGAGAAATATGGGACGCCGCAGGGTGATGGGAGCCACTGAGGTGCCCCTCACCCTCCTGCCTGTGGCGTGCGCAGGGCTCGGGCCCGTTGGGAGCGTGACTTCAGCATGGCCGTTTTGCATGATTCACAGCACTGCAGTGGGATCCCAAAGCCTCCGAACCAGCACGCTTGAGATGCAGCGGGGCCTTCGCGGCGTGTGCCAGCCCAGGCAGGCAGTGCCCAGCTGCCCACGGTGGGGCAGTAAGTGCCTGTGTATCCCCGCATCACACCCGACCTGCCTCCGGCTAGCCAGACAGGGTTGGACAGCTGAAACCGGGCTGCCCTGCCCCCACCCCCATGGGGGACTGGACTCAGCACCAGCCTGGCCCAGCCTTCTCCACTTGGGCTGTTGTGTTAAACTGGCTGAAGGGGGTTTCTTCTCAGCTACAAAAATAAATCTGACTCTCTTACGGCCAGGTCCCAGGGCTTGAGATCACTGGGGGGTGGGGGGAGCCTTCTGACCTCTCTGGGGAGGTAGGGGGAAGGGAGGGGAGAGGGGCTCCTCTTCCAGGCCAAGCTTTAACCAAGGGGGCCCAGTGTTCTGGTCCTGAAGCTGCCCGGGCCTGACCCTGGAGAACTGCAGGCGCCTTAGCACTGGTGGCTGTAGGCCCCAGTTATTTCGAGTGTCTCTGTCCCTGTTCTCAGTCCTCTGGCTGTCCCAGGGTGGTGCTCGTGCCACCCCGGCCGGGTTTGGGCTCAGGCCTCCCACTGGCACTGTTAGATGGGCAGAGGTACCGGGGGTGCGGGACAGGCTCGGTTGGGGGTGAGTCCCACAGCTGCAGAAAGATTGCTGCATGGCAGGCTCTTGGGAGACCCTCTGGGCGGGCGGAGGACAGAAGCGATGCCCGAAGGAGAGCGCTCCCCTGTGCCTCCCTCATGTGCTCCCTGTGTGGGGCGGTGGGGGTGGACAGGTTCCACCCTCTGAAAACTCTGTGAAGAAAGGGGTCTGTCTTTTCTTTGCCTGGCACCTGAGCTCTGCCCTGCGGAGCAGCTCCTCCCCCAGCTGCTCAGGGGCTCGCCGACCCTCCTGGAGCAGGAGAGAGGGGGCTGGCGCAGGGTCCACTGCGGCCCGGGAGCATAGACCTGTGTTCCTGGAGCTTTAGCTCCGTCCTCTGGGTGGAGTGAGTGGCCCATCCCCTCCTCTTCCTGCAGCTGGCCTATTGAGCGCCAGAGGCACCAGCTCCCTCACTTTTGAATAATTGGCTGCAAATGAGAACTGATGGTGAGTGACACGCTGCTGCAGCCGCCAAGTCCCGCTCAGCTGCCCCCTGGGCGAGGAGCTGCTTTGAATGGGATCCCTGGGGTTCTCCCACTGCATGGCAGGGTCGGTGGTCTCCGCTGCAAAGGGACGCAGGCCCAGCTCGGGGCTGGGCAGGGGACGGGGCACTGACTTTCCATTGGGACGTGGTGTGGGGGGAGGTGACCAGGAATGGGCATGGTGCTAGGACAGAGGAGAATGCCATGCTCTGCCTGCCGGCCTGCCCCCTGCACTGCCCTGGTGTGCGGAGCTGGGCCTGGTGACACATGCACAGGAGTGAGGGCTGGGCCCAGCAGGCCGAGTCCCAGCCAGCTCGGCTTTCGCTTTAAAAAAATCAGCTGCGGGTGTCTGCAAAGACAATCAGGAAACGTATGTGCCCAATGCAGGGCTGCCTGCCTGAGTCTGCTCAGAGCCTGGAACAGAAGGGGTGCTGCCTGTGCAGGGCCCTAGATCTGTCACTCACAGCTCCACTCCTCCAGCAGTCTCTGCTGCCCCCACCCAGCAGGACCTCTGTGGGGCACTTTGCTAACAAGCTGCTCTGGAAGGGGGGGGGGGGGGGGGG